TATATATAATATACATAATACATTAGCTTGAACATTAATTATAATTTATAATAATAATACTGCTATTGTATATGCCCCAGGATGTTCGTCAAAATGTCGTCTGTGTCTTGTGGATGCAGAATAATAAAACTAAAACATTCCTCACTACACTTAGAATTTTAAAGGTCTTGATTTTCATCTTCCAAGAAATAGGTTAATAMATTTTTCAAACGTGTACTCATATATATTTTTATAAGCTATGGGCCTCCAATCTAGCTCACCGTCAAGTGTCAATTCCACTGTAATTTATAAATAGATTATAAGTCCACAATCCACGCCAATAAAAAAAAATAAATACATCATGGAGCACCCTGTAAATATACACTAAAACTAATATCACAATATTAATGTATATTAAATCTAAAAAAAWTAATTAAATTGTCGTAAGATTTTTTTACTATGAACTATTCGGTGTGGATGGTATCAATGATCTCTTATTGTTTATAGGAGTTTCGATATTACTATATTCAGCATCAATCTGTAAACAAAATCAAATATTTAAATATGTAGATAATTATAAATTTGTAATACCCTAAATATTCCAAGTAGGCAGTAAAATAGAACTTAAATTAATAATAAAATATTTGAAAATAAAACTTAAAAAAAAACAACTTTGATCAGTACGTATTTAAAAAAGGAATAAATCGTATAACTACGATTACCATTTCCTGTAGTTTATTCAATATACCTACTTATAATTTATTTACATATTTCATACATGAATAAATAAACAATACTTGAGAAATACTAAATAACACTTCAAATAGCTATGTTTTATAACACCATAGTATACATAAATACATTTTACATTTTGCATATAGGTATAGTGAATGTTATTATACATCGATATAGAAACTATTTAGCCTTACCATTTGCGAATACGTTTGTACCTCGTGAAAATCGCATATAAGTTGGATTGAGCACTTTAATTTTGCATCGATATTTTGTCCAATGATTGGTACAATCAAGTTAAATTTAATCATTGGATTGTTTATTGAATCCATGGTATTCACTA